TTACCTCTGGTTACACATAAGTCACTGCACCTCCTTCTCTTACCTCTGCTAGCGTGGAAATCACTATCCTTCCTTGTCTTACCTCTGGTTACACAGAACTCACGGCAAACAAGCACCTGCTTACATTGCATTAAATCTTTCACATCACTCCCAACCTTGGTCCTCCCGTACCCTGCCTTCTCCAAACCCAATCCCACTGCTATGTGTTGACTCCACCTCGTGGCAGCCCTAGCCCACAGGGTAGATGTGCTCCCGTGGGTTTCCGCCCCTGTACCTGTTCACGGGAGTCAAAACTCCTCATCTGTCCCAGAGGAGTGGCTGGTGGTTTTGAACTGCTAACCTTGTGGCTTACGGCCCACTGTGTAAGCACTATGGCACCAGGCCTCTGGGGGGTTCTTATATGCGGAGGTAGCTATGATGCAACACACTGTGTTTTTTCCTTCAACACTGTCCTGGCCTTTCACTCACGCTCTGGGGACCTGTCCTGGCTGAGCCTCTCCCGTCCATGCGTCCCCTCACTCGCTCCATCACCAAGCACCCAGCAGCACCACCACAGAGGCTCTCTCTGAGCTGACAGCTGCTCCGTGCCCTCCCCTAGTCTTCAGAGCCCCGCCCTGCCCCAGGCCCCTGGGTCTCTTGAAGGAAGCCGCCTCTACTAGCACCTCCCCAACCTCGGCACATGGGGAAGCCATGGGAGACTCAGGCACCGCTTCTTGCTCCCATGCGGGGCCCAACCCAGGCAAAGCCAGCCCTCCAGGACACCCCTGGGCCTATCGCCTGGACATGGGTGGGAGGGAGAGACTGTCGAGTGTGCTGGGCTCAGGTCCAGCTCGCCCCCACCACAAGAGCCTGTGAGCCCCGAAGGCTGCTGTTTACAGTCCCATCCTCCCAAAAAGCTGCCCAGCCCTTGGGTGATTCACGATGCCTCAGGCACAGCACCCAGTGAGTGACCTCTGATCTCATCACCTCCACTTACCTTCCTCCTTCCTGGCTAGCGAAACCCTGTTTTTTCCCCCGGGGGCTGGGAAAAAGGCCAGAGCTGAGCCCCCAGGGTGGGACGTGTGTGCGTGCGTGTGTCTGCCCTGGTGGGAGGGTCCTCCTTCTCTCTGCTTAGAGATGCAGCAGGAGCCCTGGTGGTGCCCTGCCATGGGTTAGGCCCTGGGCTGCTAACCACAAAGTCAGTGGTTCAAACCCACCAGCTGCTCAGAGAGGGACAGTGAGAAGGCAGTCGGCTCCCATACAGTTACAGCCCTGGGGGCCCTCAGGAGCAGCTCTACTCCGTCCTTCAGTTAGGGTGGCTGAGCCGGAACCCACGCAATGGCTCCCGGGGCCAGGCACTGGGAGCACTTTGGGGCCGCCTCTTGCTTCACCTAGATGCACGGGGGACAGTTCTCTGGGGAGAAACCTGAGTCTGGGGGACATGCAGGACACCTGGGGGGGCGGGCACTCGGCGCGGCGTAGTCACCTCGTTCTCCTCCTCGTTGTGCAGCTGCTCCGTGTACGTGTCCGGCTTGCGGATCAGTGGGTCCACCAGCATCAGGAAGGCCATGTAGAGCAGGAGCACGCCCACCACCGACAGGTAGATGACGATGATGATCTGGGGGAGAGAGCCCCGTGAAGCAGCCACAGCCCTCCGCCACCAGCTTGGCCCGCTGGCTGCCAGGGGCACTTGATGGGAGAGGGCCGGCGGTGACTGCAAGGAGGAGGGGACAGGCACCGGGGCCAGGCGGCAAAGCATCACCTTGGGGGCTGCAGTTCAAACACTCGGGGGGGTTGTTCCCGACAGCCTGCTGTGTTCCGGCGAGACTGGGACTGGGTCCAGGGTGGGCCACAGACACGCTCTCCACCATGCTCTTCCGGGCGCCTCCCCAGGGAAGGTCCCAGCAAAGCAGTGACCACAGAGGGCTCTGCTGGGCCAGCGCCACTCAAGGGCTGGAAGGCTACAGCGACTGTGCCTGTGGCCCCCCAGGGGTCAGTGTGAGTTTCTCAAAGGACACTCGGTGATGGTGGGGCTTGTCAGGAATAGATTTAGGAAATGTGAGAACTACGATGGTGAGCACCCAGGCCAGCGCAATAGCCCACAAGACTCTTTTCTGTCACAGCGAGGCACCTGCTCACCTGGGAGGGCAACCTGGCTGTCCCAGGAGAACTTTGGGGGAACCTTACCCCGCCCACCCTACCGCCTGGCCTGTCTCTTCAGATCTCTTTTGGTTTCCCCAAACTCAAAGAACACTGTAAAGGGGCAGGAGAGAGTCCCCTGAGGATGCCCGTAATGTAGTTTGGGCGTGGTGTCAGTGGAAGTGCCCACGCTGTGGGGAAGGGTCCAGATGGAAACAGCACCCTCAGGGGGGCAGGCAGAGGACACACTCACACCCACCCGGCTCAGTCTGCCGTCTTTGTTGAACATGACTTCTATGATTGTGCACTGCCTCTCTCCAACTGACACCCATTGTTCCTGCCTTTGTCCAGCACCAAGGGCTCCCAGCAAGGAAAATATGCTGGCGGGCCTCAAGACAGACGATGATAGAGGTCTGGGTCCTGACACCCCAGGGTCCCACACTGCCCTGCTGGGGTGGGGCAAGCAGGGCCTGGCTGAGCAGAGCCCGTGAAGGTAGGAAGGAAGGAAGGGCCAGAGCAGAGGCCCGAGATCTGAGGCCAAGCGAGAGGAGTCAACCTGGCTCCCCCTCCTGCCAGTGAGGAGGGGAGAGGCAGAAGTGCCAGGCACCCACGCCCCAGGAGGGGGTGAGTCAGCATGAAGGTCCGCCCCAGGTGGGCAGACGGTGACATCTTGAAAGAAGCCCCCCGCCCACCCTCAGAGGCTCGCAGATGGATGCTTTGTTGAGCGGAAAAGGTAGCTCCAATGCAGCTCGCTGGATGCTTCCCAAGGTACACGCTGTAGGCATTTGGAACTAAACTTTCTAAGAAATTTAGCAGTCGCCCTCTGTCTCCATAATAGTCTGGTTATTACAGGACAAAAGCACCTCACTCATCTGGGGGTGGCTGGAAGCACAGAGCATGGAAGTAGCTCGCCTGAGATCCAAGGTGAGTGAATGTTAGCGATACAACAGATGTGCTGACTCGCTCTCTAAATGGCTTCTACTGCCACGGTGCCTGCCCGCCACCATGGCCTCCAGGCCCTGGCGCGGCCAGGAGCTGGTGGTGAAGAGAGGTGTACACAGCCGGGAGCTTGGGGCTTTGGAGCATATGCACCGCTCCGTCAACAGCCACAGACAAGTGGACCAACTTGGGTCCGTCTGGTCTGGGCCTTGGCTGCTACCTCAGGAAGTGGGGAGGAGATTGGAGGGAGCCGTGTGGAATTGGGGAGCTATGTCTGATGGGGTCCCTGTGCGGGGAAGGAAGTCCCTTCTCTGTGAACCGCCGCGGGGGGACATCTGACTCAGGCGGGCATCTGGTGGGCAGGCGGAGTGGGGTGGGGGTGGGGGGGCTGCTGGAGCCAGTTCAGAGCCACAGAGGGAAGGCAGGAACATGAAAGGGGCGCAGCCCGCACAGCTTGGCAGGGTGATGCCGATGGTGGGGAGGGGCAGGCAGCTGCTTTCTCTGAAAGCTGAGACCACAGAGGGGCTGCAGGGCTGGCAAGAGGGCTGGCTCCCCAGGCCAGGTGGGGAGGTGGGCGAGTGGCAAGATCCCCTCCCCTCCAGGTGAGGCTCAGCAGCAGAGCCTGCAGGAGGAGTCTGTGAGAGGCTGGGGTGTGCTGAGAACTATCTTCTGACACAGTTTCTCCTCATGTCTTCCAGACCCCTCGGGAAAAGCGGGACTGGGCTTAACAGCCAGAGCAGGAAAGGCATCGCCCATCTCGGACAGTGTCACTCTGGACTAGGGGGCCGGGAGTGCGCGGGCTCTCGTCCCTGCTGGGTGGCTCGGTAGCTTTGGACGAGTCCTGCCTGGCGGCCAAGGAATTGGGCAAGGGTCTCCGTCATCCTCCCTCATTCCCTACTAGTTACTCCTCTCCTGGCTTCTCCCCAGGACTGTGGAGAACAAGGTTCAAGAGGCAAACACAGGGACCATCTGATGCCCTTGCTCACAGGTCTCTGGCGCTTCCCAGAGGGGGGTCAGCGTCACTCTGGAAGCCTTTAGACTGTCCGCTCGAGGAAGCCAGGCCCTGTGTCGGCCAATGCGCCCCTCTGCACAACCCCAGCATCTTGTGCGGCGCGGAGAACATGTCGCTCAAAAGTTCTTTGTTGAATGAGTGGGAGAAGTGAGGGAAGGGGAAATCCAGAAAAAATGGAGGAAAGGAAGTCGCAGCCAACTCTCCCAGGGCTTCTGTCTCCTCCTGTAACAGGTGATGCCAGAGGAAAGGGCGGGGGCCAAGGAAATGGGAAGGGGACCCCTGTGCTGGTGGCCAAGCCAGCCTAAAGTCAGGCCCAGGGCCACCCGGAATGCTCTAGAATAAAGCACGCCCAGCATGCAGAGGGGGAGGCTGTGAGGGTATGTGGGTCCCCGACCCCCCCGCGCTGGGAGCAGGGAGGGAGAGGCTGTGAGGCACCGCCCCCGCGCATGCGCGGCTACCTTGATGGTGGTGGTGCTGCGCTCCTCGTACTTGCACTCGCACAGCAGGCAGTAGGCCTCCACATCGTGGCCAGGCACCGGCATGGGCTCCACCACGTGCAGGCAGTTGCTGCAACAGACAGGCAGGCAGACAGGGCGTGGGGCAGGGCTGCAAGGAGACTAGTAAAGGGACCCGGCTGGCAGGGCCATGCCTCTGCCCCTCAGAACCAGCTCTCCAGCCTGCACTGAGCATATGGTGGCACCGCCCGCAGCTGCCTCCTCGACGCATGCCGTGCTCCCCCTGGGCGGGCTTGCAGCCGCCTCACTGCGCGCCACCTCGTTATCCACGAGCTACTCCACGCTGGTGAGTGGAAACCCCCATGGGACTAAGCGGCACCTTCGGGAGGCCGGCGGTAGGGAATGCCGAGGTGTGAGCAGAGGGCCACTGGGTGCGATTCTCCGTGGGGTGGCAGTTCCCCAATGATGGCGATGCCCCCACTTTACTCTCCACACCTCCCCCCCCCCAATTCTCCAGCGCTGGAGATTCGCATCTTCATGTGCATTCCCGTCCCATAGCTTGTATCCACGGGCACCCCATCGATCAAGTCAAATGGTCACCCTGGTGACCATCCTCACCCAGTGCCTGTTCTTTCATCCACCAGATGTCAGCGATGTCCCTCTTGCACTCCCCCTGCTGCTGCCAGGGTGATTCTGACTCACAGCGACCCTAACTCCAGGGACTTAGAAAGCCTCCGCTTTCTCCCACAGGGCAGCTTGTTTTCAAACCGCTGACTTTGTGCCTGGCAGGCCAGCGCACAACCCACCTGGCCGTTCCTTAGTTTCTCTTCCTCATGCTGTGTCTCTGCTTGGAGATGTGACTCACCTGACCTCCCTCATGCGGTCCCACCTCTAGTTTGTGCCTGGATCTAATGCTGCCTTCGCTGCGGACACTTAGTCCCTCGCAGCAGAAACTCTGAGCGTGCCAACATGTCCACAGCCTCTGCCTGTCCAGTTTCACCTCCTGCACCACTCACCCACGGCCCGTTCCTCGGGCTGGCTTCCCCAAATGAGCCATGCTTCCACACCACTGCCAAGAGCATGGGGCTGTGTGGGTCACCCAGTCACCTCTCTGTACCCTGTGTATCCCTCATGATGTAGCTGAGTCCCGCCCCGAGTCCCCATGCTCATTTCTTTATCCGGCTTCCCCTGGGGAGGCTGAGCTCCTTGAAAACAGGAAGTTCATCTCTGTCATGTCCACTCCCTGACCCCTGCCACCACTCCCAGTGCCGGGCCGTGCTTGCCAGAGCAGGGTTCACGGAGGAGGTGGCTGTGCAATGAGTTATGTGCCCACCCTAGGCCTGCTTTTACCCCTGGTGCTCCTGAGTAACATGGGCTAAAGAGCACAGGCCCTACATGTGAAAGGAGGGAAACTGAGTCCTGGGAAGGCCAAGTGGCAGCTCCATGGTGGTGGGAGCCAGGGCCCAAAGCCAGACCTCGGCCCTCAGCGGCTCCACATCTGACTTGGGCCTCAGCAAGGCTGTGCTGAGCTCCTTGCAGGCCTCCTCTCGTCTCCCTGGGCCGTCTCCCTGGGCCATCGTGCCCAACTCCTTGGGCACAGCGACTACGTGGAGGGAGCCAGGCCCCCTACAGAATGCAGTTATCTTTCCCACTCGACGGACACAGCATGAAAGCCCTCAGCCACCCACGAAGCTGAGCAGCACCGTGGTGGGAGGGAAGCCAGGCCCGGCCTTGGCCCTGCTCTGCCACTCAGAGGCTGTGCCCAGGGCTTCCCCACCCCCACCCCACCCCCACTGTGGGACCCAGGAGGTAGAACAGATAACCTTCCAGGCCCATCCAGTGCTGAAAGAGCTGCACCCAGCTCGGGGCTCTCTCTCACACGACCCCAGAAAACACTCAGGCCCAGTCTGGGTCTTTCTGGATCTGGATGGGTCTTTGACATCCAGGGCGTGCAGTGTGGAGATCAAGGGTGGAGGTTCAGTCGGAGGGCTGGGGGTGGGGCTGGGGGTGGGGCTGGCTCAAAATCCAGTATGTGGCATGAAGACAGTATCCACGCTGCCCAGTTGACTATGACGCCCGGCGCCCAGTGTGTCTGTGCTCCCAGGGTGGTCAATGGCTGCTGCTGCTGAAGCAGCCTCTGGCTGGGCTTAAACGAGCAAGCTTCCGCGAGCCCGAGTGCATTAACCCTTTGCGGTACCCAGGGACTCCAGTACACGCACACGAGTTTACTGAGACCTCTGACGAGGCCAGCTTCACCTCTGGGTGTGTAAGAGTTCCTCCCATAGGACCAAATGCACTCTGTCAGGAGGCCCGCCACCAACCCCCCACCCCCACCCCAAGGCACTGATGGACAAGGCCGGGGGCTGGACTTGGACAAGTGGTCTGTGGCTGTCATTCCTGACCCAAGAGAACATGGCCTGTCCTTCTCTACCAGCCTCCGGTGGGGAGATTCCTTCCATTCCTGAGCCATATGGGATGGCGGACTTGGAAGGCCTCGCAGGTGGTGCAGTGGGGTCTGTGGACTTCTCACGAGTCTAGAGGGACAGGGAAGAGGAGGCGGGAACAGCTGGGAGAAAGCCAACCCAGGGTCCTTCAAACGGCCCGGTTACTGAAGAGCATAGGAGCCTTGGCGGTGCAGCGGTTACTCGTTGGGCTGCAATCCACAAGGTCGGCAGTTCAAAACCACCAGCAGCTGCCCTGGAGAAAGACGAGCTTTCTACTCCTGTAAAGAGTTTGTCTCAGAAATTGACGGGCTTTCGCCCTGTCCTATAGGGTCGCTGTGTGTCGGCGTCCAATCTGGGGCAATGAGTTTGGTTTGTTTTTTCCACTGAGGGGCACAGGCTGAGCAAGAATGACAACATAGTTGAAGGGCGCTGGTTTGTTGGCTGCGAGCACCCCTGGGGAGCAGGGGAAGCCTCTATGAGCTCCCTTCTCCAAGCAACCACCTCTTTGGCTCTCTTGGGAGCAGTGGGCAGAGGGTCTGGTTTCATTGCAACTCTTCCGTTCACTGTCCCCACGGGGAAGCTCTCAGCCTCTTGGGCCTGTTTCTTCACCGACAGATGGGGGCAGGAGGAGAGGAATGTCCCAGGGACGATGTTCCTCCTTTGGGTGGCCCAGCCTGACTGTGAAGGAGGGTGGAGGTGGTGAGGGTGCAACGGGGGAGAGTGTGTGTGTGTGTCACTCTTTAGCCAGAGCAACTCAGATTTTCTATGTCACATTCTGTTCCCAAAAATGAGTCTGCAGAAAGGATGTGTTTCTTAAAAGACTGAAAGACAGAAAGGACCTGTTTTAAAAGACTGAAAGCCACTGAGCTCGCCAGCTTTTCAGTTCCTTCCTATTCTGGGATACTATATGTATTTGGTCTAACACCGCTCCTCGCCACAGTCCTAGGGCAAAATGATTGGGGTTGCTGCTCTTTTAGAAACCTGGTGGTCCCAAGGGCTAGGTGCCAGGCTGTTTACCACAAGGCCGGCAGTTTGAACACATCAGCCACCGCACGGGGGAAAGCTGCGGTCAACTGCTTCCATGACTCCCAGGCTTGGAAACCCGCAGAAGGCAGTTCTACTCTGCCCTATAAGGTTTGCTGTATCAGAAACCACTCGCTGGCAATGCCAATAGGCTTGTCGTTACACGTTTCCAACACGAGGTGGCAGAATACCAGCAGCCTACAACAGGAATGGATAGGTGGCTAGGCCTTCATCTGAAGACCAGTTTCGCCTGTTCTGGCTTACTGCTGCGCAGCAGGGGAAAACAGCCCCACGTTCTCTCAGCACTGGACCGATTCAACCCAGTGTGAATCTGCTGCACAGACCAGAGGCCACAACCAAACTGGTCTCCTACTCTGGTCCTGGCACCAGGGCGCTAAGAACGCGCATGTCAAGGCCGCATCCCCTACCCCCTGCACAAGGTCACAGCCCTAAAGGGTTCAAGGCAAGCCCATGATGACTCGGAGGTGAGAGTCCTGGGGCGGGGTCCAAAATCCTAGTTTTAGCTCCCAGCCTCTGGTCCCGCCACCATCACTCTGAAGGGAGCTGTCCCGAGGCTCCTGATTTAATACTGTTCATGCAGCCTCGCCAGTCTGACCTTAACTGGAAGAAAGAAAGTTCAGCCTGAGAGACCCAGCAGACAGGGCTCCTTTCTCTACAGGCATCTGCGAGCCGAGGTTTCCTATGGGCTCGGCTGGGCCGGGGCGCTCAGTGGTTTGGCACTGGGTATCCAGTAATCTCCCACGACGAGATCTTCTCAAGGGAGTGGCAGGCTCACTGCCACCGAGCCAAATCTGACTCAAAGTGACCCTGTAGGGCAGAGTGGGACTGCCCCTGTGGGTTTCTGAGACTGGACATTTTTACAGGGGTAATAGTCTCATCTTTCTCCCTGGTGGTTTTAATGGCTAACCTTCTGGTAGCAGCCCAACACATCTCCCCCTGTACCCCCAGGGCTCCAATATACGGAGAAGCTGGCTTGCTTCTTGTTGGGTTTGGATCCTGCATCTGGCGCCTCAACTTCTGGTTCTTTCGATGAGTCAGTGGCCTGCCATCTTACCGGCTAATCATTAGCAACTTGGATTCATTAGCTTCTGCAGCCACAACCCTGAATACAGGGTTCATTAGCCTCCAAGGATATGTTAGTCAGGAGAAGCCACTAGTCTAACATTGAACCCATGACCGTGGAACTTGTCCCCTTTTACAATGGTGTGAGCCAGTTTCTTGATATAAACTTTATATATATATCTATATATATATAAAAGCTGGCTGGTGTTGCTTCTCTAGGTAGGCTGGCCTAAAGCAGCATCCAAACTCAAGCTCACAATCTTCTCAGATCAGAGGTAAACCAGTTGGTGTCAGGTTGACCCCATGTGTGTGAGCAGAACTGTGTGCGCCGTAAGGTTTTCAGTGGCTGATCTTCCGGAAGCAGATCGCCAGACCTTTGGTCCAAAGTGCTTCTGGGCAGACTTGAACCTCCAACCTTTTATTTAGCAGTCAAATGTGTTGTTAACAGTTTGCACCACCCAGGAGAGAGATCCCAAACCCAAACCCATCAAGCTGATTCCAATTCACAGCAACTCTATAGGACAGAGGAGAAGGGCCCTATAGGGTTTTCAAGGCTGTAAATCTTAACAGAAGCGGATTGCCACAGTGTTTTCCCAGGAGCAGCTGGTGCATTTGAACTGCAGACCTTTTGGTTAGAGCCTCTGTACCACCAGGGCTCCTTAGGAGAGAGAGTTGGTACCACTGAAACCCTCGAGTGTTACACAAGAACAGGACTGTAGCCTTGAGGTCTGGTGTGGGGCTAAAAGCATGCGATGCAGGCGGGTTAGAGGCAGGGCTCCCACACCATCGAGCTCCTGTAGTCCAGCCTCAGAAACTCCTGACCGACAGGGTCACTATGGCATCAACTCGCTGGAGGGAGCTGTCTGTCATGTGTTTATCAGAAGGGCAGGAGCGGGGTGGGGGTGGGGTGGGGGCTGGTGCTGCAGGAAGAGCTCAGCTTACCCAGGCCATGGCACAAACCTGGGATTGCTCGGGGGGCTCCGGAGAGATACGATGCTACTCATTTCAGCCAAAGTTTCTGCCCCACGTATTCTGTGCCAGGCTCTGGACTGAGTGCTAGACACCATTTCTCCTTTGTCACGCAACGAGCAAGTGGTTGCGTCCAGAGATTGCATCTAAGTAGACTGCCTCTCAGGAAGCCCCACTCAGACCGTCCCACGTGGAAACGCCTGCTGGTCTCATCGTGGCCACATGCTGCTCAGGCTTAGCTGTACCATAATCGCCTAAGGGGCAGGGGCGGGAAGAAAGGCTGCTGCCCCTCACTCTTTAGGCTCTACAGGAATGGGGGGCAAACATCCTCCAGGGGCTCCATGTTCACTGAGATTCCATTTCAGCAGGGGAGGGGGAAGCACTGGGGACTTGAACTTCCCCAGAGCTCACTTACAACCAAGTACTGCACCCACTGGCCCCAGGCCCCCGTCTGATGTGAACCTCTCTACTCTAGCCTGATCCAGGAGCCATCTGCCCGTGCTCACGTCCCTGCAGGGTCCAGGCTTCCCGGCTCCACCAACCGCCTGGATTAGAAATCCACCCTCTCTGAATACAATCTTACTTGTTTCTCCCTCTCTTAAAAGCCAGCCAGCAAACAAACCGAAGAAAAATAGGCCATTGCCACCGAGCCCATCCCTACACATATCAACCCCGTGCTGCTGTTGTTGTCAGGGGGCCATCCAGCGCCAGCCTCACCACTGATAGGCCAGAGTCCACTGGGGCAGCCACTGTGTCCATCCATCTCATGGCGGGTCCTCCACTTTACCTGCTCTTTAGGGTTTCCCAGACCAAAGATCTCATCTCTTCCCCATGGAGTGGCTGGTGGGTTCGAACCACCGATTGTGAAGTGAGCAGCCTCATGCTTCAGTCACAGCAGCACCAGGGCGCCTTCTTTTAAGTAAAACCCCCTACCACGGAGTTGATTTTGACTCACAGCAATTCTATAAGAGGTTTCCAAGGTTGCAGACCTTCACAGCAGTCAGCCCTTCTCTTTTCCCCTCAGAGTGGCTGGTGGGTTTGAACCACCAACCTCACGGTGATCACCAGCTCAACACTTAGCCTGCAATACTGTGGGAAGCAGAGATTTCTCCCAAGTTGTCTCTCCCAAATATATGCCGAACCTAGCTGCTTGCTACATGTGGTAAATGACTATCCACTTGGAGGTCAACTGAAGCAGGTCAGGGGTTATTCTCCCTAAAGGTTATCAGTCATCTAGAGCAATCAGACTGTATAGTCTGTCCCACCCTAAGTAGGGCCCACACTCAAGGGTGACCAAGGTTAGGCCACCATCATGAATCTAGGGTCCGCCCTTCTTGTCACATGTATACCCCTAGTCCCTCCCCTTCCTATCATGTGTACACCCCTAGCTCATCCCCTTCCTGTTACATCTATGCCCATTGTATATTCCCCTCCTATTGCTTGTATTGCCTATTGTACAGCCCCTTCCTGTGACGTGCGTGATTACCTATAATCATGCCCCCTAAGTAGATACAAGCCTTGGTTAGCAATAAACCATCCCACCTCGCCTCGCTCTCCTGCCCTTGGCCCATGCTGTGCTTGGACCTGGATGGTAAGATCATGGCCATCCAGGAGGTGAGCATGCTACCATGTAATGTGTCTGACTTCCTTATTTGACTGTCTTCTATAACTCTCATGCTCTCTATGGCTTTATTATAATTATAATCTTTATATTCCTCACTGTACAATTACGCTTACTGAACCCGCGATTAGTTGTGGGGGGCTGGCCTACCCCCACACAATACCACCAGGGTCCTTCTTTTAAGCAAAGGATCCTGGAACTTATTTAAGACTTCAGTAGTATCATTTAAATTCTCTCTCTCCAGGGTTCAGCCTCTGCAATTATAAACCGGGACCCAAACCCAACCCCGTTTACCATGTACTGTTATTGAGAGGCTGGCACAAACGAAAACATGCAGCCGGACTTAGGAAAAGTACAGAGCGTTCTATCACATGTGCCCATAATACTTACCTCACTCGACATCTCTACCCCCATTTACATGTAACCCTAAAGACTCAGATGTAACACAAAAGGACAAAATTCAGCCCTCTGACCAGGAACTCCTCAGCTGAAATTCAAGACACTGGGGTCTTGTTTCCAATGGACTGTGCGTTACAGTCAAAGTACTCCATTCCCAGGCTCTATAGCAGTGGTTCTCAATCTTCCTAATGCTGCCACCCTTGAATACAGTTCCTCATGTGGTGGTGACCCCCCCCAAAAAAACCATAAAATTATTTTCGTTGCTACTTCATCACTGTCATTTTGCTACTGTTATGAATCGGGCAACCCCCGTGAAAGGGTCGTTCAGCCCCCAAAGGGGTCGCCACCCACAGGTTGAGAACCACTGCTCGCTAGGATTGAGGAAGCAAGCATATCCTCCAGGGGCTCAATGGGCCTTTCATACACCCGGCAGTCCATGCAAAGCCTTACCAGTCTTTCTGTGACACATTCTGGTTGTAAATGTGCCCGCTGATGTTTCTATAGGGAGGACAGATGCATTTGCACCGGATATCTTCAGAACTCTGCAAGCGAAAACACAACACAGATCAGGGAAGCAGGCCCCAGCGTTCTAGCAAGGCTCCCAATTGGGAGCCGCCCTGTGGAGGAGGCTTTTCATTTTTCTCCAGCGCGTTTCTGCCAGCAATGAGCTCTGTAACAAAGATGCTACCTCACAGGGCCCTCAAGAAGGAAATCGCTCAGACTCACAGGAGGCTGTCCAGAAAAATCACTGCCGAAGTGAGGTGCTTGGGACCTGCTGTCCTGGGTCTCACACCCACATGTGCACCACTGTCCATCCCCATCCCAACCATCTCCATCTTCCTTGGCTAGGGTTTGGGGAAGGAAAAGGCAGGGCTGAGTAAGGAAAAGGATGTATCCAAGGGAATGTCCAAGCACTCTCAGTTATAAAGGGGTCCCCGTGGAGTCGTGGTTTATGTGTTGGGCTGCTAACCACAAGGTCAGCAGTATGAATCCGCCAGCTGCTCCTCGGGAGAAAGATGAGGCTTTCTACTCCCACGGAAAGTTAGTCTCAGAAGCCCACAGAGGCAGTTCTACTCTGTCCTATAAGGTCGCTAGGAGTCGGAAACGACTTGACAGCAGTGAATTAGGGTTTGTTTTCTGGGGGTGCTGTGGGTTACAAGTTAGGCTGCTAACTGCAAGGTCAGCGGTTTGAAGGCACCAGCCTCTCCTTAGGAGGAAGATGAGGCGTCCTGCTCTTGTAAAGATTTACAGCCTTGGAAACCCAAAGGGCCGGTGCTACTCTGTCTTAAAAGGAGAGTACAGAATTGGCCGGATTGGATAAAAGACAGCATCGCAATTATAATCTTCTCAGTCAGGAATTCCCCAAAGGGTACACAAACAAACTCTCAGACTTGACTTTCCTTCAAAGCCTTCCAATCACACACTCCATGGGTGCACCCAGATACAGCTCGGAGACTGGGCCTTGAAGAGGGGAAGTTAATTCAGGAATCTCAGGGCTTAGTTGGTCCTCTTGAACATATACGTCTATCTTTATCAGGTCTGACACACAGCATTTTTACATGCTAAAACTTGATTCCTCCTCCTTAGAGTAAACCCATTACCATCGAGCCAGTTCTGAATCATAACTCTACATCGGGTTTCCGAAGCTTTAGGGGAAGTCAACTGCATCTTTTTCCCACGGAGCAGCTGGTGAGTTTGAACCACGGACCTTCAGGTTATCATCCTAAATAGAGGAGTACATACTCAGGTGCCAGCAGTTAATTCCGACTCAGGGCAAGCCTGTGTGTGCAGAGTAGAACTGAGTTTTCAAAGCCGAGACCTTTCAGAAGCAGATCACCAAACCTGTGTGCAGAAGTGCCTTGGGTGGGTTGTAACTGGCGTACTGGTTGTAACTGGCGTACTGGTTCTGAGTCTGGCTGCTAACTTCGGGGTGGGCAGTTTGAAACCACCAACCCGTGGATCTCTAGTCACGCAGAATTACAGTCTCAGAAACTCAGAGGGGCAGCTCTACCCTGTCCTACAGGGTGGCCATGAGTTGGCATCCACTTGATGGCAGTGAGTGAGCGCCTCTCAAGGGATTCAGAAAGGTAATAAAACCAGATCCAGTATACACAGAATAAAGTAAGGTGTGGAGAACAATTTCCCCAACACAAACTTCTTGATGGAATTCCACCTCCAGCCTGTCTGGTCCAGCCTCAGGCTGCAGGTATCACCCCACTCCACCCCACCAGATGCCACCCCCATCGGCTCAACCCTTAGGGAAGGAGGCCTGAGGTCCAGCACAAGTCAGACTCCCTGGATTCTGGGGCCCCACAGGTGAGTGAGGGGGCGGGGTTTGAGCAGCAGCTACCTAGGGCGGGCAGGACACCGGGGCGTACTGGGAGCTCACCTTGCTGGCTTGCGCTGGGAATACCAGCAAACACCCGATCATCGCCACGAAAAAGAGGAGCTTCATGCTTACTCAGGTTTGCTGAGCCAGCAACGCGAGGCACCTGGCGAAGAGATACGGAGTTGGGAAAGGACAGCAAGCCGCGGCCCCAGCAGTTCGGCCTCTCCACCCCCGGACGTGGGAATGGGGCCTGGGGCTGGGCTCCAAGATTCCAGGGCCTCCGGAGCTCCAGCGGCAATCTCTCCGGCAAGTCTCCGCCTCTCCACTGCCCACCTGGTGTGGCCGACAGAGGGGGGCCCCCAGGGGTCCGCGTCTCCGGGGACACGGCCTCCTCAGGCCTAGAGTTCTTCGAACCAGGCCCGATTCCGACCCTCGCACAGCGCGTCCCACCGCCCTCCGCCATCTCCATCTCCGTCCGCCCGGCAGCTCCTCCCCACTAGGCCCGACGGGAACTTTGGGTGCAGAGTCTGTGGGGCCCGATCTAAGTGAACTGCAGTGCCCACCGCACCCAGAGGGTCTTCGGTAGGACCGGGACACCCCCCAGAACCTCCGGTAAACTCTGTGGGGCCCGATCTAAGTGAACCGCAGTGCCCACCGCACCCAGAGGGTCTTCGGTAGGACCGGGACACCCCCCAGAACCTCCGGTAAACTCAGCACCACCACCCTAAACACTCCAGCCACGTACCTCCGAGTCGGGCTGCAGCTACACAGGACCCAGCAGACCCCGCCCTCTTTCGGCTTCTATTGGTTGTTGGAACAGTCACTCTTCTTTACTGCTCTATCGCCACGGCAACAAGTCCCACCTCCTCCTAGGCCGGAGGCTCGCACAAGGGAGAGGGAGACAATTCTCAACCCTGGCCAAACAAGAAAAGGAACGTCTGTCCTTTGAACTAGAACCGGTCTTACCTTTGTGACTTGTGAAAGAAATCCCTACCGCCGTGTTCAGGGAGAGGCTAACCCTGTCCGTGATGTTGTTTTAAGGAGAAATCCATTTGTAAAACAGTAAGAATGATAAAAAGCAGAGTAAAGGCCTTTGTCTTCATCCACAATTTGAAATGTTATTCAGCGATGCACACCTGGGGCACACACACACATACACACATGCACACATACCACCACCACCACCACCACCACCACCGCTACCCCACTGCACCCCTCCACGCACACACAGAGGGTACGGAGGGCGGGGCCTGTATGTGAGTAGTGGGCCTGACACTCCCCTCTGACTGGTCTCCACGCCCCAAGATCTGGTTCTAACAAATTGGAGAGTGGGTGTGCAAGGGAGGGTCCCAGCTGCGAAGGAGTAAGTGTGACGCTGTCCGCTGTGGAGGGCAGAGGAGTCCACAGCCAGTGGACTTCGGTCCTGGCTTGGCCACCAGGCCACCATGCTACCCTGGAAAAGACTCCTCCCCTCTCAGAATGGGGGCGGGGGAGGGGAGGGCCTCCGTTCCTGACCTGTAAAAGGATTTGCTATTTTGCCCTTGGGTTGACTCAGAGTGACTCCATGGGACAGAATAGAATCGCCCCATGGAGTTTCCAAGGCCATAATCCAGCGGTCCTCAATTTGTGGGTCTCTACCCTTTTGGAGGTTAAATGACCCTTTCACAGAGGTCGCCCGATTCATAACAGTAGCAAAATTGCAGTTATAAGTAGCAACGAAAATAATTTTATGGTTGGGCATCACCACAACATAAGGAACTGTATTAAAGGGTCGAGGCATTAGGAAGACAACCTC